TAATTCTTGGCCATCCCACTCTGACTCACAGGAAGAACAAAGAGTAAGTCAGCAGCACTACAATAGCTTGATACAATCTCAACTGAAAGAGGCCATAGAAAGAACTCTGTGTCTTATGCAGCATCATGTTTCCACTGGAAGAGCAGACGTGTTGTTCCAAACACTGCCAAGAGTTAAATGTGGAACAACAAGCACTTGAATGACAGCACAATACCTAACTGAGAACATGTGGTTAATTAACAGAGACGCACAGATGTGCTGAGAGCCTGAAATGTGCAGCACTGCTGAAATGCATACATTCTCATCTTCCTGAAACTGCTTGTACACAGCCTTCTGCTTAGCCCGAACCTGATTTCTTCCTGATTTTTAATGACTAATAGCTGGTCATGCTGTGTGTGTGTAACAAATTAAGTAATTTAAAGAAGTATGTTTCCCAATATGCTCATTTGCTTTCAACATGTTTGTGTCCTCTGACTTTACACTGACCCTTTGCCGTGTTGAATTTAGCTTCTTACTGCACAGTCTCATATCATCTTTTTATTTTAAAGGGGAACTTCAACACTTTACCACACATAAAAATCAGTGTGTCATAGAGCCTGTAAAGCACCAAGTCGTGTTTTTTTTTATCAAAGGTTATGTGACGTCAGTCAAGAAACAGTCAAACACGAGACCCCCTCATAAAAGCACAATTTGATCTCTTTTTACTTCCATTGGGGGCTCAAAAAAAAGTGAAGATGGTGATCAAAAAGCTTTAGAAATATTCTCTTCTCACTTTGTTACTTTATTTATGCCAAACAAAGAGACTGATGTCTGCAGTCTCTTATTTATAGGTCAGCCTAGCAAGTAGCCATCCGTGTTCTTCTCAAGAGCATTTAACAGATTATAGCACAAGGTCCAAAGTAATTGGAGACATTTAGATGTATACTTACATTATAAACCTTGTAAATTTATAAGGTTTATGATGTAAGTAAGTATAAACCTTATAAGTTTATAGGAGATTAGTTAACATATTGTGTGTTCCAAACACCCCTGCTGATGAAACCTCTTTATAAAGGACAGCCAATGAGAAGGAAATTCGGGTAAAGGGAGAGGAAAATGAGCTAACATTTGTTGTTATCAGAAGGTTTATGAACTGCAAGTGAACAGTGGAGAGGGGCTCCACCAAGGCCCAGCATAAGATAAACAAAGAATATTTAAACAGTGACTCATTCAGAGCTACTCTAGTGGAGTCTAAGTGTAAAAATATGAAGCTGAAAATGAGCATAATTGGTCCTCTTTAAATCTATCTATTGTAATGTCTTTTACACTGAAAACAGAGCATTCCTTTATAAGTACATTTTGCAGCTTAGCTGAAAAGGTAGATCCTTTTTGGATGCCTGCTCCTTTAATTTTCTGCCATAATAAAGCTTGGGTAAGATAAGGCTGTCTCAGATGCAAAATGCTTTTTCTTCAGTGGTTTAATGTGATTTGTCTTCACTGTACGTTGCAATCCAGTGCAGATGCCGATCTAAAAGGCTATCATTAGCATCAGCATTAGTAAAATAGCAAATTAGTGTGCTAAACACATGTTTGTATCAGTAATGGCAGTATTTAATCTGAGATTGCATGGTTGTTACTTGTGCCTGTCCATAGTAACAAAATCATAGTGATACACTACTTTTGACTAATATAAAAAAAAATGCAAAGGACTATAAAACAAAACTTTCCACTTTAATC